GACTCTAAAATTATCTAATCAGAAAAAAAACCATTTTACCAGCAACCAACAATTTAGATAATTATAAAAATAAAAATTAATAGAAAAATATATTACTTTATTATTATGTATTAATATTATTTTATTAAAGAAATAATTATTAATATATTCGTCGATCATAGCTAATTGTTTAATAAACGATATTATTATAATTATCTTTCGTAACATTTTAGAAATGATTTAGATAATATTTTGATAAATTATTGATAGATAAATAGATCTAAATGAAAATATTTAATGTTATATTAATTTATTTTTATAAACTAATTGCTGTAATTATTTTTTATTTATTTAATTTTAATTTATTCATATTAATATAATATAATTTAGCATTATATTAATTTTATAAATTATATTATATATAATTTATATTTAAAATTATATTATAATATTATTTTTATTAATATTATATTATAATATATATAATATAATATATAATAATGTAATAATAATTATAATATAATATTACAAATTATATTAATTATATATACATATATATATTTTATATAAATTTATATTTAAAATTATATTATTTGTAGTCGCGTGAATCGAACGAAATTTAATTCAATATTATTAGTTAGAGTTAATTACAGAATTAATTCAAATTAATTATATATAATCTAATAATTATAGAGTTAATTATTAAAAAATTATTAGTTAATTTATATTATCAGAAAATTCAACTATTAATTAAAAATAAACACTAATTCCATAAGCAATATTTTCTGATAATCATAACTCTTAACAACTAATTTACTAAAATCAATGATTCAATTACAACACTATACTTTACCGCGTAGAATTAAATTTAACACTGATTGTAATGATACACTGATTCAATCATTCGTAAATTAAATTTCAACTCGAAATAAAATTTGACTAGTTTCCATTGGAATTTAGGAGAGTTTTATGAGTAGAAGAATAAATATAGATAAACAGATAGGCGACGAAAGAATTAAATGACAAACGAACCGATAGTCGAAATCGTCGTCGAAATAAAAAAAGATGGTGTGTGGTCTGTCCTTTGTAAGTTGTGTAACTTGTGTGAGTTTAGAAGGTTTTCGAGTGACTTCGATGCTTAGTTTTTTGCATCGGACTTGACGTTCGAAAAATTCGAGAACGATGCGGATGAATATAAAGGGATTGAATTGTAGTCGTAGTAGTAGTCGCAAGTCGTCATCAGTCGTTATAAAGTCGTCATATCTTAAATATATCTTATCAGTAGGATTAAATTGGATGTATGTTAACTTCGCACCTCTAACCCAAATCAAAATCATACATATATGTATGTCAAATAACATATACGTGTTTAACGTTCGTGTTAAAGAAGAATAAACTTTAACATATTATACAATAAAATCTGTCAAGTACGTGATTGATTAATATACATATATGTATTTGACGATTACGTGCTTTACCAATTATCGAAAAAACGTTTTTAATTATTAATCAGGTTAAAATATATCAAACAATATTCTCATCATTTCTACATTACTTAAATTAGATTGTAAATAATGATAAAAAAAATATGCAAGATGAATTATCTACAGATTTAAATTCTAATAACGTTAAACATTTAATTATCAATTTAAATTTATAAACAAATTGAGAGTTAATTTTATAATGCAATAATTGTAAAAATAAATTAATCATTAATCAAATATCTGATTAATTCTAAATAATAATAAATATTTTTTAATAAATGAAATAAAAAATATTTAAAATATATAATTTAAAAATATTATAAAAAATTATTCGAAATAATAAAAAATTTAAAATATTATAAAAAAAAAACAATAAAGTATAAAATAAAATATAAAAAATAATTAAAAATATAAAATAAAAAGTTTAATTGATGCTAACAACAAATATTATTTCTTAAATTATTCAACAAAAGTAAAAATAACTATTTTATAATTTTTTACTGTTATATATCCCCTTTTAAATAAAAAAAAACATTAGATTGAATTTGAATCATCCTACCTTTAATACTTATCGTCTTATGTGATCAAAAATCTTGATAATACATCGATATTAATACAAATTTTTTACAGATTTATTTTAAAAATTAAAAAATAATAATACTAAGGATAATGAAAAGAACACTGATAGATATTCGTAGCACACTGATGGATATTCAAAAAAGATAATCTAACGATAAGACACTTCCCTATTTCGGGGCCACGATTAGAAACTAGTACCAAGTTGGAACTGAACGAACACAGGAAATTGTTCGATGTTTATAAGCAACGAGAGAAAGTAAAGAGACGTTGGTTGTTGATCAGTCACCCCACACTACCTAAAAGCTCTCCTCTGTTTCTACCTTACAAATCCGTCAATGTTCTTGCAATTATATCAATACTTGTACCAACATTTGTTCAAGATCGTTCGTAACTATTTCCAAGAAAATATCAAACATGGAATTTTATTCTTGAATCTAGTTTGATTATATTTAAAACCTATGACAAAAAAAACAAAAAACATGTTTAAAGTTAATGTTAATATACATAATAAACATACAAACATACAAACATACAAACATAATAAACATTTTAATTTTTAATTAATAGATAAAACAAATGAAGTACAAATGATCAATGAAGTTTCTTTCCTTTGAAATTATTTTTAATATTTTGATTGTTTAGTTTCTTTTTCTTATTTTTCTTCTCTTTTTTTTTTTAAATCTATTTAATTCTAATTAAAATATTAGATGGACCAGAAAGTAATGTCACTTTTTAACCTCAAAATTCAAACAAATAAATTTGTTTAAACAAGCTTTTATTATTAACACTTTTAATGGCCGTTCACACAACATGTATGTGATAATCAGAACACACATTGGCCGTTATTTTATTTATAACTTTATATATATATATATATTTAAAATTATATATAAAATTAAATTTGTTGTTAAATTATTGTTTTTTGTTTTATGTTAAATTTTTTGTGAATGACAATAAAGTTTTTTTTTTATATTAATTTTTGAAAAATATTACCAGGCCCCTGACGATGTTTAACTACGTACACGTGCGACCATTAAAGTGTTAATCAATAATTAAATTAATTAATCACGTTATGAACAATCTTTTTCTATTTGGTATACAAATTTTTAACATCGTAACGATAAAAATCATCAATCGTTTTTTTGATTGAAAATATTAGAAATAATTTGATATGCGTAGTAACGACGACATTACTTTTCGGTCTCCCTGTAATATATTTTTATTCATACATAGTTCACCCTTTTTCTTCTTCATTTTTTTTATTTCTTTAATCTTTTTCCTTGGACTCATTTTTCCATTCTTCCATTACTTCGAAGTTCCTTTCTCCTTTGTTTCTCTTGTGCTTACACTTCGAACATTTTATATCCTATTTCATCATAGTTTATACTAGTTCATTGAATTTAATGTGTTACAATTATTAGGTTTATTGTTTAGAAAATTACGTTATAGTTAAGTTAATAAAAAAGTGTTCTTATTATTACTGACAGTTTTGATATAATTGAAAAAAAGTTTTGCTCAAATTTACGAGATAAACCTTTCAGAAAAAAATTACAGAAGAAATATACTTATAACAAAGAAGTTTTTACTTCAAAAATATTTGTAAAGAATAAAAAGTATTACCATCTGTAGGTAAGAATTTTATAACAACAAAAATAACGTTCATTTCTTTTTTATAAAATTACAAAACTGATTATTTAAATAATAAAAAAGAATTTTTATGTATTTCTCAATTTATATTTAATGTGGTTCAGTCGATAAGATAGAAAACTGTACTTTTAATGAATTGAATGCATTGTAAATTCATTTAAAAATTTTGTAATTTTTATCTGCATGAGTTGTTTTGATAAACGCTCTAATAATTCAAATGACATTAAATGATTGTAACTGTCAAAATATAAAAGACAAAGTAATATTATTTAATTCCTTTATTAATTTTCGCACATATTACGAAATAATGTTTAACCATAAGAACTCGATCGTACAAATCATTCAACGATACTTAATTATTTGTTTTCCTTAAAATTAATCAGTCATATCCCATGGTTTCACATAAACTCAAATCATTTTCACAATAAAACTCGCATAAAATTTCATCTTATCAAAATTTCATATGATTTTGCGAAAATACGTCATCTAAATATAATCAAAACATGTATTTTATTGTATTTACTGATAACTTCAATCGGTTTCAACTTGATAAAACAAGAATTAACACCCTTATTGCAAAAAAAATTGCCATAGTTTAGTTTTTATCATTTCGGCATTGAAGATTGATTTCCCTGAGGTATACTAACTTGTTGAAAAAGAAAAATTACTTTTTGACTTTTTATGATAATAACTTATAATAAATTCCGAAAAGAAGTAACTGTTACAATAATTTTTTTTGTTCAAATTTAAATTATTCAGAGATTTAATGTAGCATATATATATACAGTGAAAACAATTAGTTTTTGAATGTGCTTAATATTGAAAATAAATATTTAAAGAAATATAAAATAATTTATAAATTAAATAATTCGAATTAAACATATGACAATGATTCAACAAATCAATTTAATGTTTTTCCTACCTAAATTATTGTCATGCCGTAGAGAGGATATTTTTTTTCAAACAGATATTGCTAAATGAAATTATGAAATTTAGTCATGCATTCCAATGTCTACCACATATGCTCGTTGACATTTACATCACGTGCCTATCATATACTATACACTATAATATTTACACAGATGCGCGTCCATCTTATATAAAAAAATTTTTGGGGAACTTTACATTGACAATATCAATAAAAAAAAAAACTAAAAAATATTCCATAAAAAGAAATGAAATATTCAAACATTAATAACAATAAATGTAATAAGTTTTTTTATATACGAAAATTTATGTTAATGTAAAAAATAACATCAGCGAGTATTAAATTATTATTTGTAAATAATCCTCAGTTGTTCAGTTAATTAATTAGATGCACGCGCACTCTTTCGTATTGCTATTTCTTATATTATTATTATTAAATGATTAACACGCGTAAATAATGTTCTGATGTAGCAAATAGTTCTCAATTCGAATAATACAATTATTTTCGCAATGAAATGCAATGAAAAATTGTTTCTTCCTACGATAAGTATTATATTATTATAATCCACTTTTTTGGATAAACTAGTGAACTTATATATTTGTTCTTCTTATCTCAGCTTCTCTTCATTGCTGAATATTCCTCCTCTCTTTTTAATCGACTAGTCACGTGCTTTTTCACCGTATACTCGTGTTTTTTTTTTGTATTCTTTTTAATTATCGCACTAACATTAGCAACCGCTTCATCCTGAACCAAGTTAGCGCGACCATCATAATATATTGTACATCCTCGATTTAAATAAAATCTGAGGAAACAACACACTCCATTGGAAACGTAAGACACGTATCACCACAATGACATCAACGAAGATCTCAATAACATCACAATCACGGCTCTCTTTCTCTACATTTTGATTTCTTTTCGCCAAGCCCAACCTTGTTCATGGATGAGCCGGCGCTACGCGCGGTAATGTGACCAGCCAATTAATAAATTTGTTCAACGATAAGCTTTAGCCTTCTCGGCCCATGCAAATAGATCCATACTTGGTATTGCTTCGAAATCGTTACAAGAACGGACTTCATTTCTACAACAATAAAATTAACATATTATAATATCATTACTATACAAATATGGAAGACAAAATTGTTCAAAAATATTTCATTCAATGTTAACTTACCCTTCTTGTGGTTTAAGGAAAACATTTGGTTGCATGTTTTCAATGTTATCCCCATTATCGCAGAATATTCTTGCTAAAGTTACGTTGCGTATTTCTGCCAATTGATCTGTGAATAAAATGAATGTATAAATGCAATGAAAATGATGATAATTATAAACAAAATGATGCATAATTTAAATGAAATATAACATTTTACCTGGTGTGAAAGGATATGGTTGTATAGCTGAATCATAGAAGAATCTGTCTGTTCTAAGTGTTCTCGCAAATTGTTCCATAATCAAACATCTGAAAGTGGGACCAAGGAGTCCATCATTGGCTGATCGTTCTGCCATACCACCGATTACAAGATCCACATCATTAGGATGATTATAAACCGAGCGCAATTTGTTAACGAGCTGTGTACAAATAATAAACGAAACAAAATGAAATATACATTTATTGCAACATTTGGTATTTAGGTTAAATTTAATAATATTTGAATTACCTCGACAGGAATGTAATCGAGGAAATCATGGAAATTTTTGGCAACTGGTAATCCACAATGTTTTCTATAATAATTATATCCAGGCAAACCATGATCACGACCACGTTGTATGTCTAAACTAATGGCATCCAAACCAAGATCGTTCTTATTCTTAGTATATAATTTACTTGTAATCTGTAAAACATTCGACATAATACAGTTAAATATGTAATTATATTATAACCCATACAAAATAATGAAGGAAAAAATAAAAGAAGATATTTACCTCAGGAATGAAACTTATGTCCATCTTCTGACTAGTTTGAGTTGAAAGACCAAGAAGTAAACCGTTAAATACTTCAGCGGATTCGATCACTCGAGGATTAAAGAAATATTCTGACAATTCTAACGACTTAGCATTTAGACGAGAATTATCTGGTAAACTGTATAAAGCAAAATAAAAATATTATAAATATTAAATTATAAATATTAAAATGAAATCATATAATAAAAAGAATTATTAATAATAACTTACATAAGTCTTCCTTGCATAAGTGAATTCAAGAATCGTAGGGCTGCAGTAGCTGCTTCATTGGTAACTGCAGGATTATCTTCAGAATCATATCTTCTGTTATAACCAGTACCAAAAGATAGCCCTAAGGGTCGAACACTCATTTTGCCCAATAAAATGGGCAACCATTCTTTATAAGTGATATGCTGAATTTCAGCAATGACAATACGTCTAGTTTCCTGATACAGGATTTCATCTGTCCAGCTAGGATTCAATTCAGCAAGTTTCCTAGCAATGCGGTTATGTTCACGATGCCAAATTGTGTGTAGTACAGCCAGCTGAGGATAAACGTTGACACGATCGTCACCTATAAAATTCACAATTATCATTATTGTGTGCAATTATTAAAAATCAATAATTAAAACACTTAAAATAAAAAGTAACTTACCAGAATCGTAACAGCTTCCTTTACATTGAGAAGTAACTTCAGCATCACTTTCTGATGGTAAAAATTCATGACCATTACGAACATCTACCCGTAATCTACCACCTTGGAATTCTCGTAACTCACGAGACTTCGTTAAAACAGATCCGTAAATCGTGGACCCATCCAGAAAGTGAGTCACTTGATTCATCTGAACATAATAAAATATACAAATAAGAATTTTAATTGATGAATAAAAATATGAAAATAGAATGTTGAACTTACTTGTTCCAAGGGTCCAAAAGTACATTCCGATTTCAAAACTGGCAAGGAACGTACATAATTCATACATCTAACGTATTGAGTGCCATATACAGGATCTTTATCAGGTACAGTGATGGCTGCACAATCTGGATGGACATGACGAGGAGATAAAGCATTTCCATCCGCTTGGCAACAAGAAATTGGTTTTCCTGATGAAACTGTACAAACCAAATTTGTTTCATAAGCATCTAATATAATAATAATGTAATGTAAATATGACACAATAGATTTGTGAATACTAACCCATTCTGCGGACAGGAGTGTGTACCATATCGTGAGAAATGAACTGGCTCCATTGCATGACGGCAAGGGTTTTGGTGATATCGGATTGTCCATTATAACCAACCACCGATGCACTAACTGTTCTCGCACTTGGCAATGGTTTCTTGGTCTGTCCGATGGTCCGTGGTTCTTGAATGCCTGGTTTCCAATACAATTTTACATTAAAATTTTATCATGAAAGATCATTTTGCATTGTCAAATCGGAGTAAATCGATGCTAATTTCATCGTCACGAAATTATTTTCAAATAAATATGCTAAAGCGTTATTTTATAAAACAGAAAATAGAATCCTCTTTGTGTAAAAGTATTTAAATTATTAATTTGCACTTTTCTCACAATATATGTGTTAACATAACGGTTCATTTTAATTACTCCGATTTGAACAAAGTTAACGAGATTTTTATATGTATACACGTTATATGTATATACATATATGTAATATTTATATTTTAAAAGAACAGCACGAGAGAGAATGGTAATAATAAATAGTACACAGAATTTGAATTACAGGAAACATAAGTTTATTGCTAAAATACGCGTTTAGAGAGAAATTTTTTTTCTTGGCCGTCTTGTCCTCGAACCTGACACTTCTCACCTAAACCTGTTTATCGCTCACCATCTATTTTGTTTGAGAACAATCGGATATTATCTAATTTTTTAATATATTAAATACATACACATATACACAAGCTTAAAAAACAATCATAGAAAAATTTGGTTTCATTTTAAATCCGATTGATCTCAGAAAAGAAAAAGAAAAAGAAAAGAAAAAAGAAAAAGAAAAGAAATAAAAGATGAAAAATAAAAAGAAGTTCCAACCGATAATTTGCAAAATAATTTTGCAATTAATCAATTGAAGCTCTTGTTGCTCTCGTGCTGTTAAATAAAACCGAATAAGATCATCTTTTTTTCTCACATCGTTCTGAAGCGTAATTGACGTAGCATGCCGTCGATATAAGAAAAAAAAATTGGATAAATCGATTTGAAAGTTGAAAAGTTCATATCGTAATTGGTCACGTTGTAAAGCAATATATAAGATAAACTATTACAAGGAATGACCCCATAATATATATTACTGTTATCGATTAAAATGGTTGTTGATTGTCGCTGACGTCAAAACGCTTTTCAAAACGTGTTATCTAGTTTTATAATAATTTAGTAGTATGGTCGATGAAGGCACCTAAACGAGTGAACCAAGCTGAGAGACGGACAAAAACGTTTATGTGTTATTCAATATGATTCCAAAAAGATTATGATTTGCATTTTAGTGACTAATATTATTTTCTTTCAATTTTCCAAAATGTCAATTCCAATTATTTCGATGTTATTCGTATCTCAATGAAACCGATGAAATTAAATATTATGACTCCCAAATTGAATTCGCTCGTAACAGGGACCTTAACGTGAAACCGTATACCGCCATATATGTTTATATATATATATATATATATGTATATAATATATACATATATATATATATACATATGAAACAGAAAGTGTTCGAAGTAACTATCATTACGTAATTAATATGATACATTATTAGGTATATCCGAATTAATTTACATACACTTCTACTGCTGGATAGAATCTCCCGACCGGGTCACCCTATTGTAGGCAGTATTTTATATTCACTGCTACACTCAGGCATATTATGCTCTATGTGCCTTTTTATCGCACAACAACTGTAATGCAAATCACAGAATATAATTTTGTTAAGCCAATCGACGAACGTTTTTCTGCTAGCGCCCAAGGATCTGTCTCTGTGCACGTGTATACGTAGTGAATGTATTTATATATATATATATATATATATATATATATATATATATATATATATATACATATTATGTATATAAATATATATATTATGTATATAAATATATATATTATTATTTTATATATCCCTATAATGTGTGTTACGTCAGTTAATAAAATTGTCCTGATGAAAGTGATGTTAGGTCGGTTAATAGGTGAAGAATCGTTCCCTAAACAATCGTTTCAAGTCATAGGACGAAATTATGAATTCTTAAAAATCTATTAAATCATACATGAGATGTCATGAAATAAATGTCTAACTATTATTTTATAATATATGTTAGCGTTAAATTGTATTATTCGATTAAATCGTGGAAATTCTAGATTTTATCCGAAATAACTAAACAGTTTTTAAGAGAAAGCATACAAAATGAATTTTTTTATAAACTTAAACTAGTAATTTGAAAAAATAACGTGACTATATATGAATTTTACAAGAAACAAGTAATTAAAATATGTAATTATGTAAATAAAAGAGAGTATAGTTATTTCAGGATTCATTTCACGAATTAATGGGTTTCACAAAACAAAACGCTAGCATATATATATATGTAAGTATAATAAATATCGATGTAAATTTAGAAAATGATGCCATTACATGCGTCGAATAAAAAAGCGTAATTTTCGTTAACCGATTAAATAATTTTGTTTATAATAATCAGGAAACATTTCCCATCTTCTAGTAATGTACGATATCTAAGAACGTTGTTGGGAAAATACAAAAAAAAAATCATAACGCAGTCTTGCGGTTACATATTACGTCCCACGCATTGGAATAGTTTGAATAGCAAACGATGAAAGTATTATAGAAGGAAAATCTTATGTGGAAAATAGTTTATGATTGGATAGGAAAGCGCTAAACGTTCATAGGCTGCAAATAATTGTTCGATTATTATATCAGAAGAAAAAAAGATAATTAACGTTTTATATAATTAGATTATTTTTATGTTTTTTTTTTTAATCAAATATTATAACAATTTTTTGTATCCTTACGATATACGAGTGTATTAAACGCATTTCAATGAATTTTATAAAATATTATTCAATACCGGCCAAGTTTGATAAGAAAATAAATATTAAGTGCGAAAATGTATGAACACACGTTATATTATACAATAAGATTTCTAACAAGGATAAGGAAAATACGATAATTCCAATTAATTGGAATTTATATAAGGAGGAAATAACGAAGATTATCAAAGTTATTATATATATATATATATGAAATTAATGTTAATTCGCGTCCAAAAAAATAACGATTATTTACGTGCGTGTTAGTTGATTGTGAGACATCATTGATGGATATGAAAATCTCGCGAGTTTTTGATAGTTAGTCAATGGGGGGAATAAGGGGCTAGAAAAAAATTAATCAGTCATTTATGAAGAGAGCAGCAGCATCATCACGTTTCGTGATATTGTTAAAATGATCCTTACCATCGAAATATTGTGGAAAGAGAATTCTTGTATATGCCGTCATGGCACTGCCCCAGCTAGGATTTTTGATGTTATTGCAACTTCCATCGATAGTACGGTACTTCATTTTCGTATCACAACTTGTTACTTGGGAAGCCATGCATCTGTCACCCAATGGTGTCCCATCTAATTTCAAGGTTGATATAAAGCGGGCACATTCTTCCTTGGATAGGCCAAATCTATAAAATAAAAAAAATAACATAAAAATAAATATAATAGAAATTGTAATTATTTTTATTATATTATATATAATGAAAATATTTATATATAATTAAATATAATATTAATATAAAAATTAAATTAATAGTAATAAATTAAATATTAAATATAATACAAATTATATTTTTATATAATTAAAATATTTATATTTATGTTATATTATGTTTAATTTAAATATTTAAAATTTATTATATTTTATATTTGTTTGTGAGACAAAGTGTAATACTATTTTTAGTTTCATGATTTTGAAATTAAATTTGAAATAAATGTACAGATTGAAGGATTAAAATAATAATAAAAATGAATGATAATTTTTAAAAAACGGACTCTTACCGTCGACAACTTTGATGAGTTAGATACATGGATGCTTTCGTAGCCAAAATAGCATCGATGCCTTTCTCAAAGGCATCTTCCGAAGGATACGAATTGATATATTGTTTACCGGCAACGCTATTAGCTTCAAATTGTACACCGGCATTGACGATGTTTCTTTCAAGTGTGCTCAATCGATCTACCAGCGTCGTTGCAAAATTCACCGATTCGTTTAACATTGATTCGGTGATCCTGGGATATCGTCGATTTTGAAAGAGTCCTGTGTCTATGATACTTCCTTGAGTAGTATCTGTAGATGGCAAGCCTGTAAAGAAATCTATAAAAACAAAATCGGTACACATAATTATGCATTCATATGTGTGTGTGTGTTGATTTAAAGTAAAATTTAAAATAAACAATTTTATACATTTAAAAATGAAACAAAAATAAGTCTTCATAAAAAAGAAAATTAATTTAAATATATAAGTAAAAATAAATTATCAAATAAATGTATTTAAGAAAGTAGTAAATTATATAAATATATTTAAATAAAAATAAATTATCAAATAAATCTATTTAAGAAAAAAAATATAATTAATAGCAATACTAAATATTTTATTCCATATTTTAATGAAATTTAATTTAATGTAATTTAATTCTATTAAAATTGTTAACATATTCAAAAAAAAAAAATAAATTATCAAATAAATGTATTTAAGAAAAAAAAAATAATAAATGACAATACTAAATATTTTATTCAAAATTTTAATGAAATTCAATTTGATTTAATTTGATTCTATTCAAATTTCTAATATATTCAAAAATAAATTAGTCACGATTATATAGAAAATATATATAAATAAATAAATAAATAAATATTTACCGGTATAGCTGGTAAGATAGTTTTGTAGTGAAACAGGTAGTTTATAGGTTTCCATAGAATTAGAATAACTAAGTAATCCCATGGATTGAAGGGATATCCATAATATTGCCAAAGTTGCCACCGATCCTGCCATGACGCCTCCGGCTATTAGAAATAAAATGAATATAAATGAATATGCTTAGCAAATTTTCTTCTTTTTATATCAATATTTCTATGACTCATTTCGTTATAAATATTACTCGATAATAAATGAAAAGATTTCTACGAAAAAAAGGTTATTACGTAGGTCAAATCGATGCATTATAAACAATCTTATAGACGCTGCAAAATATATATCACTTTTTTTCTTTTATTTGTTTTGTTTTTTTACTTCGTGAAATTAAATGCACGATGTCAACAAAATTCAAATGTTATTGAATCGTCAATCATATATATATATGCTTATACATGTTTATATATTTACATTGAATGCACACGCATAAGAAAAAAACATAACATTTATTCTAACGGCGCCATCATTGACGTTCTCGCGATTCAAATGAAATGTGCGCACAATTATGTTATGATACGAACAAATAAAAATAAGATATAAAATTAAAAAAAAAACAAATTTATAAAAGATAAACAAACAAGTCTCTTACGAGTATTGTGAAGACTTCAAATATTACATTTATATTAATTCAATCGAAATAAATGTAATAATTCTCATGGACATCTGGATATTAAACCTTGAACTACTTTTCATGGTACTATATATCAGACAAATTAAATTCAATGACCACTGATGATCGGTTTACAATTCTAAAGAACAATATAATACGATAGAAATAGAGATGTATCTTCTTTTGAATTACGATTATGTGACATTTAATAAATTACTTTGTTAACCTTATATAATAACGATTTGTTATTTCAAGTTAATTGTTAAATAAATGTATACGTGTGTGTATATATTGAAGAAAAAAAGAAAATAAAAAATAAAAATATCTAACATTTGAGATTCCTAAATTGACTTTGTAATTGAATAATAATTATTTATTCATAGACTATTATTTCAAATTCTTATGTAATGTAATACTCTTTATATACATTCAATCGTTAAAACGTGGACTGAGATCATTAAAAAATCAATGACGAATGAACCAACAACGCATTGAGAATAATAAAATGTTTATATTCTGCAATCGCAACGCGACAAAGTTGTTTTTAAACATTTTTCTCTGATTATAATTTATGGCCAAGGCGAAGGACTAAAACTTTAACAACATAAACAAATAATAACGATTTGAAAAAAAAAATACAAGAAAAAGTAGAAGGAGAAGAAGAAGATAAAACATCAACAACAACAACACACCTCTGAGAGATCATTGATAGAAAATCGATTGAGATTGAGTCAATTAATTTTAAAATCACTTTATCTGATACGCGAAGGCTAAAGATAAGTAAATAAATTATTAAATTATAAAATGATTGAAAAAGATGAAGATAAATATCATCATTACATGGGCAGATCTTCTATCATCTCAAGAATAAAACTTTTATTTTAAGTTAATCTATAAAATACGTAAATTACGTATGAATAATCTAATCGTCAGATAATTGTGAGCTTAACTTTGAAAACATTATAAACCTTTGCAAAATGTAAATGGTAAAACTAAAATGACTCGTGAATAATAAATGTTATCGCGAATACATTTTGTTTTTATCTTCTTTTTCTCCTTTTTTTTTTTTTAATATTACCATTTTATCCTGACCTTCGCGAACGAAGGCGTTTTTTTTCGAGATATTTATAGAAATGGGGTGGGGTGGGGTGGGAGGTCGGAGGTTCCAATACTCGTGTAAACATTGAGAGAGAGAGTATGATTTTTTATATACGTCTCGTATGTTTCGTAGTTGTAAAATGTGTGAGAAAACGTGTGTTAAACGTTGAGGAATTCTCACTCATTGGTCTGATGTATCAGCAACCAACGTTCATGCGTTTTACACGTGCTTCAACGTGATACCACCATTTGTACATTCAATGTGATCATGTCCTCTAATTTATACCCACACGCATACATACATATTAAACATATATATTCGTCTTATACATGTAAAATATATTCTCAAGTTGTTTATTTAAACAAATTTTTCATTTTGCTATTGTACTATTGTTTTTATCGTATTATTTACATTGATGTCAATTAAAAAAAAAAAAGAAGAAATACGCTTCTATAAATGTGCACGTTTTCTTTATTTAGTATAAAAGAAAAAAAAATCTAAATGCCAGCTCGTAAATAATATCCTCCGGTGTTTAAATAACGCGATAACGGGTATATTTGAAGAAAATAAAAAGATGATAAGATAGTTATGAGAAAAAAAAAATTAAGACACGATTATAATCGGAGAGAAAATTATTGAGGACAATTATCTTTTTGCGAGATCTGTTCTATTTATAAAATTAGTTGACTTTTTTTAACCTTCGGATTGATATAAGTGTCTTCAGTAGAAAGTTTTTTTTTATTGTTAAAGTCAATGTATTAGGTCATTAAATATGAAATGTCTGATTTCGAGATGAAAATAATCCAAGTAATCGGACATTTCATAGTTATTAACCTAATATATAAAGTATGTATTAAAGTAAATTAATGAAATAGTAAAAGAAAATATTTTACCAGCTTAAATTAAAAAAAGGAATAAAATTTGTTGTCAAAAAATATTTAAAAAAAGAAATTAATTTTTAATTTATTATTATTATTATTATTATTATTATTATTATTATTAGTTGGCGTTAGGAACTCGAAAGTTTATTGCCGCAAATACCAAATCCCGCCATTGTTCCCGTCCCTAATTTATTTTAATATAAAAATTAATTTAATATAATTTAATATTAATATTTAAATAAAATTTTGTTTTTACCAGCTTAAATTAAAGAAGAAACAAAATTTGTTATCAAAAAATATTTAAATAATAAATTCATTTCAATGATAATATACCCGCCAATATTTTTCTAGTGAAGACAAAATATTCAAATTTCATAATCAAATATTAAAAATAGATACTGATAAGTCTAGACGAAATAAAAATAAAAAAAAATAAAAGTTAATTTAAATTCATTTGTTTCTGATTACGGAAAGATGTTCGTAAATCTGTCGGTAAAATCGCACACGCATATACATAACTTTCAGGTTATACCTTGTTCGTGTAAATCCGGCTTTCATCGGCAACGCGATACAACGTCTTCGTAAATTTCCGAGCTCGTTCGACTTTTTAAACGTGCGCGAAAGAGATAAAAACAACGGAGTATGCGCATATGGACGACTCATGCATGGTACTACCATAAAACACATATCATGGAAAAATACTAACTAATGATTAGCATATTAATCGTGGTTAAAAAATCGAATTATCCTATGGGAATAATAAAACAATTTTTTAAAAATCTTTTTAGGATACGATCTAATAAAATGACGTTAATTATTGTGTTTTTTTTGACGTTTCAAAAATGAGAAAAACAAAAACATATTAAAAGTATTACCCTCTTTTTTTTTTTAATCAGTCAACTCTTTGATAATAATTTGATACTTGAGAGAGAAAGCAAGCAGTCACGCGAACGATGAAAACAAAACTCTGATAGGTTGTATCAATAATATCCTATAGAAATAATTAATTATACAAAATTTATTAAACATTTTCCATCAATCGTAAATCAATAAAAATATTGTATTTCCCGTATATAAAATTTATGTCAATTGAAAAAATAAAAATGTTTATTATTAAAAATATCAATCACAGCACGAACTTTTCGGAAAACACAATACACGTATGCATGTGTATGTATGCATTTCTTTATGATAGTTGCACAAAATAACAAATGCAATTTAAACAAAAATTAATCAGTTTCCTAACGATCTTATTATTTGTTTGTTAAGTTGTTAATCCTTATAAACATGATATTTTTATAGATAATAAAATCGAGTACAATATGTCGCAAGTATTTAAATATCATGTAAATAAAAAAAAATATAAAAAGAATGGTTACCAGGCACGTATTCCATAGGTTTCTCTAGTCCGTGCATGGCGTAGATCCAACGATTATCGTTCACAGGTGCGACGAGAAACATTCTCAGTACATCACGATGTAAATCAACGTGACCGTAAAAAAAAAAAAGAAGGAACTACGATTCTATAAGACTTTTTTTTATTCCCACCACTTTTAACGATCTCCAAGATAAGTTTTTCTTTATTACGGAACTCGTGTGTACAGTAGAAAGAAAATGCAAGTAAATACAAAACAAGTGTTAACAGTACAGAATAAGATTGAAATATAAAAAGGGAATGTAAGAAATCTCTTTTTTATTTAATTTTCTCGATTAACAACGCGTTAATAAATGCGTTTAGTTTTTTATTTGGTTTTTTGTTTTTTTAAATAAATATATACACAAATTTGTATATACGTTGATTGGTTGCTACGTCGTCGACAACGTTAGAACACGTCGATTATCGACCGGGAATTAAATGTCGATACCTATATATATATATAAATATTTAGCTATTTATATATCTATTTATATATATATCCCATATATAGGTGAGAAGTTTGGAATAGTATAATCTCACGCCGGCGTAATACGAGAAAACGTTCGTTTCGTGCGCTAGCGAAGGACGAACTGAACAACAAGTTTTGCTTCGTAGCATAAGAACGAGCCTTTTTCTCTTATACTAATATATCTCTATCTCTTTTTCTCTCGTACACGTATTTGACCGAACGTTTGTTTTCTTTCTTTCTCTCTCTACCGTATTTAACTATATACCTGCCCTGCTCTCCCCACCACACATTTCTACCTCACATGCATCTTTCTCTCTCAGTCTGACGATGAAAACAGATCACTCGCTGAACGCGTGCTCAGTTCCCCCACTTTACTTCCCACAGTGTTTCCCCTACTCCTCGTCACACCGGTACAACGCAATCCATATTAGCTTCCATCTTTTTCGACGCTTCGAAATCACATCGTTTATATTTTTTTCTTAAAATGCACGATTTAATTTTCTATCAAATGTTTTATCTTTGACATATCATTTTCCTTTTTTTATTCTTTTTGATGAAGACAGTGAAATTAAATTAGATACTTTTATCTTTCATTTTTAATTTGTTTCTTTTTGTATCCTCATTACCGAAGTATTATTTTTAAGCAACAAATTTTACAAAAATGTTATTATAATTTTCATTTTTGTTTAATATTGTTTGTTAACGATCAAATTCATATTTCAATGTATTATCGTCATAACGCAGAGTTTTTAATTTTCACAATATATATTACATAATATTGTAACTATTGACACGACGTGCTAAATAAATACGTATGTAACACTTCATTACTTTTATTCAAGACTTATTGTCAATTAAGTTAATTGCATTTGTGCATTTTATAAAAATACATTAAATAAATGCGTTTTAATGAATTCGTTATTTTTTTGTTTCCGTTATAGAAACAAAAAAAAATAGAAAGAAAAGAAAGTAAACACAAATAAATGAAATAAAAATATGAATCGCGTTAGTAATCAAACGCTTTCATTAGAAATCGGTGTAAAGAGGGAGCAAGTGAAATTGCATACAATACCGCAAGGTTAATGTACGGCGCTAGTGTTCTCTTTACTTGTCAAATGAAAGAAGCTTATCTTGACTGATCAATAAATAAACAGATAATAAATATATATATGTATATAATTTATGTATATTATCTTACCCAAATAATTACGTTTCTTGAACAACTCAATTCGTAGATTACTGTAGATGAAATCAAATTTTTCAACGGCCATCTTTCTTCTTTGCGGCCGAATTTTTAATAACCCCGTTGCGTGATCAGGGATTAGTGGGGGATACGTTTGTTTTAAGCTCTGCTTTTATATATTGCTCGAACGAAAACTCGAATTACTTTCCCGTTATATTTAAAATTATCGAATCGGCGTGATTCAAGTTCGCCAAATTCCGTTATTTCAATTTTCACGATGAAATAGTCTTTTAAAATTTATGTAGTAATAGACAACATTGAAATAAATCAATATAGAGAAATAAAAAGTGTCGTCAGTTAAAAGGGAGGGAAAAAAAATAAAGGAAGATAAATTTAACGCACTCTTATCTTTTCTTTTTGTTTGTTTGTTTGTTTTTTTTAAATTGTAAGAGAGAATAACACTAAAATATGTGTCACAAAAATAAAATGATATGTTAATAATTATTCGTGCGGATCTTAGAATAATAAAAAATATAAATGACGATTGTTAAAGCACCACCTTAACTTCCTACGATGCCGCACTGAATGTTCTCTACTATGTATCGACCCTGTCTCCTCTTCTCTCCCCTCCTCCCTCTCCCACCACACCTATTCTTTAGTATTCCAGAAAGCTCGTCAAAATTGCACATGCGCAGTTTCACTTTTGGAAAGTTTTATTTTTTTTTCTTTTATTTCTTTTATATATATAAAAATGTTCTTGCCTATTTTCGCACAATTTTTTAATGTTTGGTTATTCATGCATAAAAATTTGCATTTTTAAAACATGAATTTTTATTTAACATTTGATAATAGACATATTTCTTTTCTTAGGTAATATTTACTGTATAAACTTATTGATTTTATTTTTATTTCTGCTTCTTTTAGAATATCTTTCCTAATTTGTTTAACGAGTGTTACTTGAATATGCATATGTGTATGTATATACACGTTCGAGTAATGGCAGTACACATTATTGATTTTTACTATTCTCGTCACAGTATCGACAACGTTTAATGTTAGCAATGAAATATAAAAATAACCGAGGAATTATTTTTGTAATCCCTCCTACTTTGAATATCAATTTTATTGAGGCTCCAGATGTGTTCATTAAAGGTCTGTTCTAAAAACGTTTAAATGTAAATGGCCGTGCTGTGTTAAATATAGTTAGTAGGTGATAGAATTTAATCTTCTATGTTAGTTAGTGCATTCTAATGTATCGTCATAAAGTGAAACGTGATATTAAGTTCTGCAATATTATCAGAATTTGATTTGTATACAAACACAAGCACTTTCTTTCTTCGAAAAAGAAGAAAGAAATTAATGTAGTATATATCTACATATATATAAAGGAAGACTATCATGTTCAAGCATTGTGATCGATATTTCTTATGATTCATATTTCTTTTAAACGACATCGAGTATTATACTTTACGTCCGTATTTGTAGGAAAAATGGAAAAATACTAAACGACTTGTACGATTATTAAATCCAGCTATTTTTTTAAAATCAATCTGAATAAACAATCATTTGAATAGATAAATCAATTTAATTGTTATAAATATCTTCTTTATTTTGATAAGATTAGAAATTTTGTAATGAACCAAAAAAATTGTATAATTGTAAGCCTAAAAGATTTTTGATGATAATTTCTTTGGAGATTTCAACAACGAAGCACGTGTCAACTGTTGTTAGTCATGGATTCTTCAAAGAGAGACGCAGTAGGATAAAAGAGAAATATATAAACAGGAGAATTGCTCGAAGAGGGCCGGTTAAACGAGCACGTGATACCAGCGTGATACCTAACCGTTCCATACTGTGTTTCCCCTACCTCTTCACCTTCTTTTCTCTTCTTAACTGACGCCATATTTCCGTCTCATTTACTATCTTCCTTTAACCAATATTCTTTCTCTCTTTCTCTTACCACTTAACGCTTCCAACTGTGTTTTTTATTCAAGATAATCTTACTGTTACGTATTTTAATCGTGAAGGAATGAATATATGTATATATATATATATATATATATATATGTATTTATTTTTATGGTCTTGCTTCTTTTATAATAATAATTAATATTATTATTATTATTTTATTACTTTATTATACGAGAAAGAAGAATCACGTAGTTCGTTCGTTCGCTCATTTTTTATCTTAATTGTATTGTTTACAATTTTTTTATTCAAATAGTGCAAAATGAATGGAAATTTTTTTTTAATAATCTTCTAATGACTTCCGACAAGTTCTTAGAAATTGTTTTGATATTCGTAGTAGATACAAGAAGTTTTTTAACAGGTTATTTCGTAAACTGTAAATTCTTGACTCATTGTCAAGACTAAAAAATTTATGCTTACATTTGCATTTCTAATGTAACAGAAATATAAATCTTTTTTAAACATTAAATTTTTATAATTATTGTATTTTCGTAATTTATTTTTTTTTTTTTTTAATTATGTGTTCGTAGCTTTTTTAAGTTGAAATTTAAAAATATTGATTTGTTTTAAAAACAAAAAATGTTACATTTTGCATCAATTAAAGTATTAAAAAAATATTATGTTCGTTTTCATTTTCTGAGACGAATACATTGCATTTAATTGCAAAAAGAAAATAAGAAAATGATGAAGCCAATTTTTTGGCTAGCTTTGTATATTTCACGTCATGCCATCTAGCGGTAAAATAATCAAATTAAAGACTCAGCAGATAAGAAGTTCGTTGTTTTGATTGTTTCGAAAGATTTGAAATTTGAAAAAACAAAAATGAACGTTTAATATTAAAAATAATACTTCATTTAAAAATTGACCATTAATTATAAAGAAATTATTTAATTAAAATTAAAATGATAGACAATACGTAAAAGATCCTAAACAATAGTATCATATAATATTTTATCAAACGTACACAAAGTTTCTTTACTTTGTTTATCTGAAGATAACAACAAAAGATTGACAAATATATCATGTTTCGTTAAATTTTGTTTACAAGGAAGTCATTAAAAAAAATGTATACATATATACACATCTAAAGTAACACGGAAATAAAATCAAATTATTCTCAAAATAAAAATACAAATCAAAACAAAATTTGAAATAATACTTACATGTAAAACGTTGTAGAAATGGACGAAAGTGTTCGTTCGTTTCTTCTGACACAACTGGACGACGATGATTGTTTTAATTTAATTTACATAATCTTCTTAATTATTAACATATACATATGTATTTATAGAAATAAATACGATTGTGTATTATAATCGTCGAAGGTTAAAATAATGTTATTTATGATAAATAACCCGGACTTCTTCTTCTGCCTTTGTTGAGTTCCAGCTTTCGACTGTCGATCCGATAGTGCAAGCAACTGGATCTAATAGCCACTATCAGGGCAACAGTTGTCTTCTTCGTTTTTTCAACTCTTCTCTTCACTCCTCTTCTCTTCTATTTTCTCTTTTTTTTTTCTTGATCAACCCATGGTCATCTTGGGTCAATTCTTTTACCAGATTGGTTTTATCTCTGACGCAGACCGCCACTTACTCTTACTTGCTTATTTTACATAAATTTGATAAATCTAATAGCCAAGATATCTTCTTTGTTCACGTGCACAAATACACAATTTTGAACTTTAGAAAAGTTCATTCTTGATATCAGGTTAATAAAAAAAAAAAACATAGAATATTTTCTAGACACGTGTTCGATTAACGATCATCGTTGTGTTTTCTCGTTCGATGACCGTTTGAAAAGAGAAAAATAGAAAAAAAGGAGAAGAAAGAGTGGAGAAAACAGTGTCAATGATAGATCGTTATTATTATTATTGTTTGGTGATATGATATCAAAGAAATTAATATTTTTTTGGAATATATCTCACTCCCACACCTTTTTTTAAATGATAAAATATCAAAGAAACTAATGCGGTGA